AAAAAAATTGCGGAATCACTTTTCCCGCAAAAAAAAATTTTTGGCGGGAAAAAATTTTACGGGAAAATTTTACAAGGTATTTTAAAGGTTTTTACAAGTGTTTTGGCGGGAAAATTGCGGGATCACTTTTCCCGCCAAAAAATATTTTTTATTTTGTGGACCTAATTTTGTTTCAAATAAGGGTAAAATGGTCATTAAAAATCAAAAGAGGGCAAACTTAAAAATGGACTCTCAAAAGGGGCATTTTTGAAAAGGGGTATTAAAAAAGGGGCATTTTTAACAATTTCTCTAAAAAGAAACATATTTTAATATGATTTATCTTTTTTTTGGGTGCAAAATTATATATGATTTATATCAATTCTAATAATTGTGTTTTTCTTTTCACAAGTGTAATTTGTTGAACAAAAAAAAAAGTAGAATTTATTTCAAAATTTTGATTAAAAATTGTTAAAAATGCCCCTTTTTCAATAAATGTAAAGGTTTTGTAAGGTTTTACAATGTATTTTAAAAGGTTTTACAGGTACTTATAAGGTTTTATAAGGTATTTATAACTTGTAAAACCTTATAACTTGTAAAACCTTATAAAATAGCTTGTAAAATCTTATAATATCTTATAAATACCTTATAAATACGTTGTAAAACCTTTTAAACTACATTGTAAAACCTTATAAATACCCTGTAAAAAACCTTTAAAATACCTTGTAAATTTTTTCCGCCAAAAATTTTCCCGCCAAAAAAATTTCGGAATCACTTTTCCCGCAAAAATTTTTTTGGGTAATATTAGAAACTAACCTTTGACCAAAAAGTTATTAAGAAAATAGCCATGGACTTATTTTTTGTTAGAAAATGACTATGGTCCCACACTTTAGAGGATGTGTATTAACGAAAACACCCTCTTCCATTTACAAGCAGCGACCGATTTGTTTGTTACAACCAAAATTATATCAAAGATGAAGAGTTACATCTAAACTTTCAATAGATATGAAGAGAGAGAAATTTGACGGTAATAAGCAGCGGGGAAGATCCGGCAGCAAAAGTCCGACAACAAAAAAACATATATCTAGCGGTAGAGAGAGAGAGAAACAATCCGGCGGAAGAAAGAGAGAGAAACAATCCAGCGAAAGAGAGAAAGAGAAATCTGGAGAGAGAGAGAGAGAGAGATAAATCTCTCTAGATGGATATTTGCTTAGAAACACAGAGAAATCCGGTAGAGATCCAAAGAGAATGAGAGAGAAGATCTAAGTAATTTTACAAAAAAACATGAATTTTGGAAAAAAATCATATTATCTAGAAAAATTAATGTGTTATTTAATAAATACAATGTTTAAAACAAAAATACATGTTACCTATGACAATAGCATAGTCGTCCGTCTTCAATTGTGAGTTTCAGTGATAGAAAATGGACCGGAGTTGCTGAAATATCATGGAATATGTAAAATTTACAAGATAACTAACATAATTACGTGTTATATGAAAACACTAATGTGTTTTTTAAAGCATAGTGTGATATATTGAAAGATAGTGTGGTAAGCTAAAAAAATAGCACGTTAAAAGTAAAAAATTAGTTGCATGAAATAAAATCACACGAAATTCAAAGAAAACTTCAAAAAAAATTACAGATATCATCGGCGGCGAAAATCTCAAAGAAAGTGATTCGGGGAGAGAGAAAGAGATCTCCAATGATCTTAGTACAAATAACGATTAACGAGAGAATTCAGTCAAAAAAAGTGTTGGACCTTCACCGACGAAGAGCACGAGAAAGACTAAGTGAAATTTTGATGAACGTAAAATAGCTTATACCGGAGCGGTGGTGGTGATTTTCTGGCGATTGGTGGTGGTATTTCATCACAGGTGATAATAGAAAATAGAACTTCATCGTTTTAGTCTTTTAGAAGAAAGAGAAACAAGATAAGATGGGTATATTTGTAATTGTCATTGAAGAAAGAGAATGCTACAGTAGCCATGGTTATTTTCTTAATTTCTTTCCAGAATTTGGCTAGTTACTACATATTCTCAAAAAAATTTTGGCGGGAAAAAATTTTACGGGAAAATTTTACAAGGTATTTTAAAGGTTTTACAAGTTTTTACAAGTGTTTTGGCGGGAAAAATTGCGGGATCACTTTTCCCGCCTAAAAATATTTTGTATTTTGTGGACCTAATTTTGTTATATTTCTTTATATATTTGTGATATCTTTTATTAAAAGAAGGGTAATTTAGTCATTTTGTACATAAAAAGGGGTATTTTTAAAAATGGACAGCCAAAGAGGGCATTTTTTAAAAGGGGTATTGAAAAAGGGGCATTTTTGTGAGTCTCCCTTGAAAATATTGCTGATTTTTTACATAACAATTTTTCTTACATTTATTCAGACTTTAGACCATGTACACTGGTGAACTTTTCTAGGTATCATTAGCCCAAATACAATTTTTTAATGGACAAACCTCACAATTGGGCCTGATCCGTATCAGTGGACTGATATTTCTGATACTCAGTATCAGATAACGTGGCATCAAGTCATTGGACGTGAATGTATTTTTTTGGTGAAAACAGAGAAAAAAATTAAAATCATTTGCTCTTCTCTCCTCTTCACTGCGTGACCCGATTCTTTTCAATGGAAGCGAGAATCATCCTCCAAATTCAAATCCCTTGGAACCCTAATCGCAAATCATCACAAGGAGATTTTCCGAGTTTTTTCGGGTCACTAGAAGCCGATCTACGTCGGAGGCGCTTCTCTTTTAGCTGTTCTCTTCAATCGGACTGTCTCCGGTATCTCTCCAGTGGTCGATGCTAGCAGGTATTTTCAGCAAAATCTCTGAAAATCCGAGATTTTACAAGTTGGTTTCATCAAATTTTAGCTGGAATTGGGCCTTTTAAAACTGCTTCATGTCTCTCTGCAGTATGGGGATCCAGTCAGTTGTAGATGATGAAACATCGGGTCTTTTAAACCAAGCGATGTGCAGTGCTTGCAAAATGGCAGCCGTGTGGATGGAGAGCGAATTGACTCATAATCAAACACAAGAACGCATACTCGCTTATGCTGCTGAGGTGAGTTTTGAGAGTGTCTTGAAGCCTTATTTTGGACAAAGATGTTAAGACTCTAATCTCTGAAAATAGGAGTAGGGAATGTTGGATCTTTGGTTATTGGTTCTGCAACTTTAAGAAAACTCTTCCTCCAAGATCATTCGGGAAACTCTTGCTCCATTGAAAACGAACCTCGCCTTGATTATGCACTTGTTGGCTTAAATTGTTATCATGATGACAAGTTTATGACATCTCTTGCCTCCGTCATATATCTCGACTTGTTTTTGAGCTTTGAAATGGTACGTATAGTGCCTTTAATTTCAACCTCACATCTATTTTTTTTATTCATTGATCTTTTTGTTATTATGATGATCACAATTCCAAAGTTTACTTATTTGTTTATATATATGTTCATTGCAGTATCTGTGTTGTATCTCCATTAAGTTTTCCAAGCTTATAACGTGTAATATACGTCCACTTCGGTTAGAATGGTTGGAACCATTTATGCATTTTCTTCAAAATTCTCCTAAAACAAAAGTTGTTAGCATCGAGAAGCTAATAAACTTAGCTTACATTTTCCCGAAGTCTCAGATTGTCTATTTAATACTTTGAAACTGACAGCCAAAGATTCCGTAATGACATGATACTTCTCAATATATTAAAGTGCGGGAATATGATACCATTTATGCCGTGTGCTGGGTAAAGTGTGTGCTGCATACCATTATAGTATTCCTTAGGCAGTTGCATTGTAGAATATGTTGTTCTTGAAACTGGAATCTTTTGGAAAATGTTTGATATTCCATGAACTTGCTGAATATTATGGCCGAAAGAGATGGTCGGATACTTTGAGACTGTTGAAGTGCACTATTACTTGTTCCTTGTTCCTTTCCATGATTTGTGTGCTGACTGATTTTGATTGGATACTCCGATCATTAATCTTGAAGATTAGTCATAGTTTATGCTTGTATGGATATTATTCGCTGTGAAGTTTACTGGTTCTTTCTTTTTTTTATACAAAGTATCATTTATGTGACATAAAAGAATAATAGAAAGCAAGAGTTCGGGTATTTTGTTTCAAGAACAATGTGGTTTGCTGCACCGGAATCGACAAGCAAAGAGTGCATCAGTTTGCTGCAACAGTAAGGAGTTGCAAACCTCCTGAACCTTATAAGGGCAAAGGCATAATGTATATTGACGAATTCGTCAAGAAGAAACAAGGAAAGAAGTCGAAATGATCTCTCTCTCTCTCTCTTTTTGTATGCTTCTTCGTACTTATTCTGCAGAGACAACTTTGATCCTTTTGTGATAGATTTTGATTGGATTTGCTTATCAATAAGTTTTACTCAGGATGTATGAAACATCATTTTGTTGTTAAGTCTCTTTCAATTAAACAAAATGAGAAGAGTTTGTCTTCAAAACTTAAGATTTATGTTTGTCTAATCATCGTTACAATAGAACTGAAAGAAAACCTTAGAGCCAATACAAAGTCAATCGAGCAGCATCTTTACACAGCAACCAGTCGAGAATATAACAAGCAATTGCACAATGCAATAATCGATTAGTTAATGAAGATTTGATTGAGCATATTTGGCAAAAATGGGGCCAAGTTAATTGACTCATGGTGACTAAATTATCTTTATCATCATGTTTTATTATAATTTTTTTTGTTTAAGTATATTGTAATCTTATGTTTTTATATATTTATTTTTGATTTTGCAAATAATTTTTTTTTTTTTTATGATACTTAAACCGGTCTCACCAATGGAAATAGATTTATTATCAGTATCATAAAAAATCTCAAACAATAAAAAAATATTAAAATTAATACTAAAAAAATGTTAATGATACTCATAGAGTATCAACTTTGTGTATACTCTATGAATATGCTCTTACAAAAAAAATTAAACAATCCATAAAAACAGACCTAAGTAAAGGAACTTCCAAGTCCTCTCTTCGTCTCCCACTTCTCACTTCACACTGTGACTGTCTCTCCAAGCTTCATACTTTTTTGCAATTCTGTTTCCAAACGTAAGTTTTCTTATTCCCGTTCTATCATTTTCTTAATTCTTAGTCTAGAAATTGGAATTTTGAAATTTAAAATTCATCGATGTTATACAATCGCCGCCGACAGTTTAAACCCTAATTTTCTTAATTGAATGTTTCTGGGTTGTGTTTTGTTTTTGGTATTACTTGATCTATTAAACTAATCGGTCACATACCAGATTTAATCAATGATTTCAAAAAAAGTTTATTTGAGTTAATTACTTTAGGAATTTTATAATGTGGATTTTAACAGGCTTGATCAGTATGGATGAGGAAGCATCTAGGACTGCAAGAGAGTCACTAGAGCTTGTGTTTCGCATGTCAAACATCTTGGACACGGGACTGGACCGGCATACTCTGTCAGTTCTCATAGCTCTTTGTGATCTTGGTGTTAATCCTGAGGCTCTAGCTACTGTTGTGAAGGAGCTTCGACGCGAGACTATCCCAGATTCTGTCACAACCACACCTTCATAATTCATACATTTTCGATACACTGATCAGGTATTGAGAATTTTCTCGGTCTATTGATGATTGATGAGTCTATAACCGACTCTGCGTCTTTCTGTTTGGTATGTGAAATGTTACTGCTTATTGTATGATTAGTAGAAATTTGTATGGATGAATTGTAACTTCTTTTATTTGTATGAACAAGAGACAAGAAGACTGAGTTCTACTCTTTCACAATGGCTAATACATCTATAATTTTCTGAATGTTTTATTTGCTCTATTACTTGTGATTCTTCAGTTTTTAACATTTACATAGACTTACTTATCCTTGGTGACAAATCAATCTATGGTACTTCGGTAGGAAGATAATATCATAATCGGTTTCACGAGTTAATCTACTCGTAAGTATTTGGTATAATTTCTGCGTAAATGGTTAAACTTATAGAAGAGAAGCAGTAAGTATATATAGACAAGGAACCAAAGTAATAAGCTAGTTATATACCCACACTCAACGGTTACTCTTCACTCTCACTCATCTTACATTCATCATCACTCCACAACTGTACAGCTAAAGAATATTACTCACACTGAACACTTTTTCAACTCTATTGTTTGCCAAAATCAGGCACGGTCACAAATTAGTAGCCGAGCAACATCCTCTAGGAGGAGTGGATTGCTTCTTCAAAGCAATGAGCCCCGACACTGAACCTTTTGGTTAGTATGGTGTTACCTTTTTAACAGTTTAACAGCCTGGTAGAGAGCTCGCAGATGAAAAGTGAGGGAAAGACCTGCGGGAGTCGTTTAGGTGAAGTGAACTCTCGCGCAGGCTTGTTGACGATCCAACCACCCAGCTCCTTGATGCATTTCCCGGGCTAAGTATGTGTGTATATCTTGAGTGGAGGGAACGAGGCAAAGAACCCTGGCGGGTTGAGTTGTGTGATCTTTGGGAAACGGCGTTCCTGAGATCTGCTGAACTCCGGCTAACTGGTATAGGCCGAGAAAAGCGGTATGACCCATTTTGGAAGCTTGTGTGGGAGCGAGAGTGGGAAAGATACATAGGGACTGTGTGTGGCTGCATTGAGGTGGATGGTAAAGAAGGGTCTACTCTGATAAATATTGGTAGCTCATGAGATGACTGCAATGGGGTTGTGGAGGATGATGATAAGAGAAACGATGACGTCGGGGTCATGCTATTGCTAGGAGTAAGCAAGGGTGTGTGCTCTGATGCGGGCATATCAATGCTGATACTTCTCGCATCGCGTTTGCAAACCGGACAAAATGATCTCCTTTGGCCAAGCCACAAGTCTACACATGCAACATGAAATTCTGCCAAGAGAACAACCAATTAAGAATGATTATGCATATATTCTTTTCACTTTGAAGTGAGTCAAAGTACTTACTGTGATGGCAAGGGAGGATCCTTAGCTTGTCTCCGATGCGATAATCCTCAATGCATATAGCACACGAAATAGAAGTAGATGCTTCATCGCAAACACCCTTAAATATTATAGTAGGCATGCGTTTTAGCAAGTTTTTGGCCATACGAGGAAAGTCATTGCCATTAAGAGCCAGAATACGCCGGCGCCTAACTCGATGCCTACGGACAAAGAAGCAAGTGGCAAGCACAGCAGACATAGCGAGCAGAGATATGAACGAGATAGCCATGATTGACCAAGCTGAAGTCTCGAAACTTGGCATGAGCCACACTTCAAAATCAGTACGACCCGCATACTCTTTTAGTACTTCCCCAGTTGCTTTGGAGACAAACGTGCCATAAATAAGTACACCAGAGGGATTTCCTGCCACTACATTAGATTCACAAGATCATTACCAATCGTTATTATAACAATCTTGAAACGGATTTCTGTTCTATTAAATGAGAAAATTGAAGAACAAACTCAATGTCAAGAACACGCCAATTCAAACATGAACCTTATGCGCTCCTCTATTTAACTCCTCCCACACTACACTAACTGACCTCGGTTGTTCGGTAGCCGAACTAGAAACTAACAAACAATCCTGTTCTATGGTAGCTTTCCCTCCTCTATGGTAACAACTAATGTATGTAACCAAAGTTTCAAGCAGCAAATCTAAACAAGAAACAATACAAAACTTACGAGAAAATAACAAAATAGCGAGGGAGAGATGTGTTTACTTGATACTAAGAAGCCATAATCTTCATAATCATAAACAATAGCAGCTTTATAACCAGCCTTTTGCGCATTCCTAATCTTCTCTTCAAAACTACAGCCACCGCGGATAATCAAAACATACGGAGGAGGAACACTTGATCCATTTTTCACATTCACCGTATTAACCAAATCCGAACAAGCATCGAGCGGCTCTGCTACATACAACACACCGCCTTGATCTGATCTCTTAATCATCGGCGCTGAAAAATCAGTATCATCAAACTCAATTAACAACAAAAACTGATCAAAACCCAATTTCTCAATTCTAATTTGGAACATTTCAAACAAACAATAACTTGAAAAAGACAACAAAGTTTCAAAATTTATCAAACCCAAATCCGCTAATTCTCTTATTAAGGCCAAAGATTCCATTACATAACCTAAGACTTTTGAATTTTTCTTACAGTAATCTTTAGAACAGTAAAAAGAACTTACTGAAATTGGCTTCGATGTCGTCAAAGGAAAGAGATGTTTTCTTCCCTATCAATAGAATTTTTGCAGAAGCCAAGTGTGAAATTAGTAACAGATATAAGATTGCAATCGAAGAACGAGTCATGTTTCCTTAACTTTAATCGAAGTAAACCCAAAAATGAATATTGAATCGGAAGAGAAAGAAGGAAATTGGAAGAAGAAATTGAAAAAGTATTTTAGGGTTTTAATTGGAAGATGATAATAAACACTTGAGCTTCCATAGAAGGCGAGGTAAAGAGACCAGAGACTCTGAGAATATCTAGAATTGTTCAGAATAATTGTTTTTTGTTTTTATTTTGGTTTGTAGCAGTTAAGTTTGGAATTATTCGGAAAGGTACCCTAAGTATTTGTTTTTTCTAAAAGGACCTTAAAATAAGTCACATGAAAATATCTAAAGTACTGTTTATAGATATTATGGCTCTTATTGGTAATATTGTATCATCACATAATGGCATAAGTTGTTGAAAAAAACTCGCAGAACGAAAAATCGCAGAATAAAATTATTTAAAACATTATGTTGATTGGATAAATTTTACGTAATAGCAAAATATAATATTATATCATCATATAATGGCGGAATGGCTTTTTCTAATATGATTATGTAAATATTTGCCAATAATTTTTTTTTGTATAATCGCATTAGAAACGGCAAAAACGTAGGATTTGCGTTTTCACCTAAACATATAAGTAAAAACTCATTATGCAAATAAGTGGACATATAGTTGCTTATTTGTATAATAGATTTTTATTATTTTACCCACACAATATATTAGCAATTAGAAAAATAAGAAAATAATTGTTTACAATGAAACTTATACCATTTTCGAATAATATTTAAAACTTGCACAATGTTTCAACAATTTTTAATATTTTATATTTTTATTAGAAAATATTATTTAAAATTTCTTGAAAATTATTTTTATTAAATATAAATATATATTTGTGATATATTTATTATATACACCATTATACAAAATACATCCAATTAGCATATTTTTTTATTCAAGGATTTTTGATTCTGCATGTTTTCATTCTACGACTTATGTTATTATATATGCGATTATGCAATATTACCGAACAGATTGCTAATTTTAGAAAAATATTTGTTGAGTCATGATCTCTGATTATGAAAGAGAACTCTAGCTGGCGAATTAGTTCAAGATTTTAAAATAGTAGTAAAGTAATCTGATGAAATTTTACAAGTAAGTTGACTAAGAAAATAACTAATTTTTTTTTCTAATTGAATAAGTGAGAAATTGTGGACCAAATTTTAAAACGAAAAAAATGTTTGGCGATTTAATTAGTTAATACTATTGATAAAACTAAATAAATAATTTAATATGATTTTCAAAATTAATATTAAAGATTAATGTTTCAACAAGTAAAATTGAAATATTCTTCTTGAATTCTTTGAAATTTTGAAAATATTACCCAAATAATAGATATTAAACATATGCATCATAAAAATGAGGTTGTCCACGTCGGGACGGATTACTTGACCCATCCTATCCCAAATTTCCAATACCATGGTCCATACTCATGAGTCATGACCCTTAAGAGTAATCCAATGAAAATAGTTTGGTTTATTCCAATATAAAGAAAACATGTTAAATATGAAACGAGATATCCAAATATCCATTCTTTATTTTAAGTTATTACATCAAATGATGTAACATCATTTTTTTTTCCCGTCAATGATGTAACATCATTTTTCTACAACATTATCTAAAAAAAAATTATGTTAGCATTTACCCTTATAGTCTCTTTGGATCTGGTATCAAAGCATATTAAATGGAATACAATTAGTCTCCTCCACCGCACCGACATATATCGAACTCGCGAACTAGCAAACCCAAAAAATTTACAGATGAGCGGTTTTTTTTTTCTCTAAACCTCGAAATTTAATTGCACGATTCCAACCAGCGACTCATTTAAAGAGCAACTGTCTAATGTTAAATTTTCTCTTCAATCAAATGCGAGTTCGCATGATGTTGAACCCCTCGTAGAAAGTGACAACTCGTCAATCACCTCAAGTTTTTTCTTCGGATCAATTTGATAGGTCCCAATCAAGAGCTAAAAGACGATGATACAAACGGTTTCTGATAAATAATTCTCATAACCTTTCTTGTTGAGTTCTCACGGTATTTATAAGAAAACACCACATGATTTGAGTCTATCTAGTCCAACAAGAATAAAGTAAAGATAATCATAAAAACAATAATATCCTAATTAAATTAAAACTATAAAACCAAAACCATAAAACCATAATTTATATGGGCCGGTCTTGTTTCATGAGCCCATCACAATTCGGTGAGAGGCCAGAGATTGTGGCAGTCTTTTAGACACAAGCATTACTCAAGATATATTTCACCAGAGCTATCTCTTTCCGCGATCCATTGAACCTATTCCACTTGAAAGTTTTCAGACTCCACAACAAACATTTAGGAACACTCTCTAGTTGAATCTTCCAAAAATCTGATGGATCCTCACAACTAACATAATGACCCAGCTGATATAAAAAAGAATAGCTTGGCTTAAACCTTTACAATACACTATTAGACCAACATATATATATATATATATATATATATATATATATATATATATATATATATCTATTGAAGAAACTTACATCATTCATCATGTCGAACTCGAGTTTTCGTAAACTAGGTGTGAATCTTTGAGCAACCTAGCAAGTAACTCTGGCCAATGTGACTCACATGAACATAGCTTAAGATAATTAACTAGACATAATATATATATTTTGAACTTACTCTAGAAGATCATCTTTCAAACGAGCATTTACATTTTTCTCTACATTTTACGGTTATCATATTTAATGCGACAAGCTTGGACCAGCCATATAAATCCAAACTTTTGTGATTATAAAAAAACGAAACCCTCATTATGCTAGTAGGAAGAAAGAGCAAGTGCAGCTCCTGCAACGCCTCCTGCAGCGGCTAATGCAGTAGCTAGAACCACAGCAGTAATGGATGTTATTTTAAGGCCGCCACTTCCACGGGAGAGACTCCTTGAGATCAGTTTACATGACTTTTCAGCTTCTTTATAAAGTAAACAGTTGGCTCCTCCTTCAGTGATGGCTTTTTCGTTCTACAAACATCGCAAGGTCAGGTCAGAGATGAATATACAACCGAGCGGAGAGTGAAATTAGTTATAAGCTTAGAAGAGTATAGAGATGCGATACCTTTAGCCTGAAGCTATCTATAGTTCGAATGACAACGAGAGTATCCCTTGTTGATGATGATAATTTAGGGGAATGAACATTCCATTCGCCTACAAGCTTTCTAAGAAGAGCAACACTAGCTTTTAGATTCTCCTTATAGAGAATATCCCATTGCTTAAAGCAATCAACGTTTTCTGTCACCGACCATATAGCGATTTCTGCAGCTTCCTTGGCTAGACCTGTAAGACCACGATTTGTACGACATGGCAAAACTGAATAATTGCAATAGATAATGATAAAACCAGAAATAAAAATACAACAACCGATACCAATATTTGTTAAACAAAGAATGGTTTGTGCGGAGGCGAGACACTCTTTCCTTAATTCTTTAATTGCCCGTAGTGTGGCGGCTTGACGCAATCAGAATCCCAGGATACAACCGCACCATCTTCTGATGTGCAACACTAATTCGTTCAAGCTCTCAACATTAGAAATAAAGAGGAGTAATGAGAATTCGTTCTCAACATAAAAGTCATATTTTCAATGGTAGTCATTGACTCCATTATTCTCATTAATTGATTTGTTGTTACACAATTCACAATTAAATGAGATATATGTTGAATCATTCAACATTATGACTTAAACACATTTGGGTAAATAACAATTATTATTTGGGTTATAAGCCCATTTCCCAAATCTCAAATCTCAAACCCGGTCCGGCTCGACACGATACAACGTGGCTCGGCACACATGCCTGGTTTGGATTTCTCCTTTAACTTCCGAAGTGCGACATTTGATCTTTTAGTCAAATTTCAAGCTATCCAAGCTAGCCACTTCGGACCTCCATTTCTCATTCAAACGAACTTCAATTTTGAAAGTTACCCGAAAAAGTAGTCCGGTGCAACTAATCAAAATAAGTTCCAACAAGACCGAGGTTTCGTTTGTTACTAGCACCTTCTCCAACTAATTTCAAGGAAAAAGTGAATATCTGTTCCACTGCTTTCCCTTCTGTTGCATTCTTTGGTGCAAGGGCTACTTCTTTCAACAAGGGATAAACTTTCTCAAACCTCTTTGTTGCCTGTGCGCATACAGAGACCATGCTTATGATCAGAATCTATTAACACATCAAACGTTTGTTTTTCCAATACTACTGCTTACCTTTACTCTAGCGGATGAAGAAGGGAATGTAAGCCGCAGCAAGATCTCAAATGAAGAAGGTGGAATCAGCCGCTCTCCCTTCCTAACAGCTCGTTACAAGTATGGTCCGAGCCTCTGGATTTGACAAAATGCTGTATAAACAAGATCAGATGGTTAATATACAACAGAGGAGATTACAAGAATAAGTTTTGGACTCACATCTCAACAAATTGGAGGATGAGATCCATTGATTGACGGCTTCAGCACCTGTAATCACCGACTAGTGGTAACACGTTATGCGCCCATGAATACAAGCCGGCAGATAAATCACCGCGGGAGGCCTGCCACCATTTTACATTTCAAAAACTTTTAACAGAACACAAATTTCGACACTGTTGGTCCTAGTTCACATAAGGGGACATAAAAAAATAACCTGAGCCAGCATCCAAACTATAACCGGAAGCTTTTCCTGACCTTGATACCTAGGTCTCCACCTCAGCATCGGCAAAGTAGTAGTCAAAGCTTCAGGCTTACTACGCAATATCATCGCTAATTCAACAACTGTGGCTAACTGTAAAACACAATGGAGTTAGACAAACACAATGCATATGCGAAAATCGATGCGTTTTCCAAACGTTACCTGAGATTTGGAAGAATAGACTTGTGCATCTCCTTCTTGTACTGCCCAATCAGAGAGAATGCGTTCAAGCGCCCATATTACGAACTTCCAGTGTTCAGTTGGATGTTGCTTGATCCACTCGGCTGATGTTTCGTAGACAGCTTTAGGAATATGAGCAAGTGGAAACTGTTCATTAGTAAGAATCAGCTTCAAGAATACTTTGATTTGAAATCTCACAAAAACGTAAAAGAGAGATAGTGGCTCACATCGATCAGCTTGGACAAAGGATATTCCTTTAACATCTTCAACCATTGTAATGATACTTGGGAAAATGCGTTCTCAAGGTAAAAGTAAAAACTCCATAAGGCAAGGTCCGAGTTTATCGTTTCCGAAAACTGTCTTGGTGGGTTATCGTTTCCGAGTTTCACATCGCATTCACTTACATTGTATTCATTGTATTCGGCCAGGGATGTCGCAAGATGTGAAGGATCAATCTTTGCCGCGGCTCCGGACAATGAAGTCATTGCCTTTTCAGTTTCCTCCGCCTCGGAAGCAACCATTAGTGCACTGAAGACGTTATAGCTACCGTTAGCTAGGGTTTTATTCGCAACCATATTTCCGCCACTAGCTGTCTGATCAGCCGGTTTTTGCTTCTGATGGCGCTTCCGGTACACGACTTGCTGCCATCCATGGTTGTTGTGGGAGTAATCGGTAGAGGTAGCCATTAGGTTTTTGATTGCTTATCTCAGATGTTAAGGATAAAACTGTGTCTTGTTTAGCAAGTAACAACCAAACCAACGTTCATAAAAACCAAACCAACGTTCGTAAAACGTCAATTCGGATCTGAATCGAAAGAGCTTGAAAGAAGAAAGGGCGCTAGCAAATTGTAGATATAAAAACCAAGTTTCAGAGAATTGAGAAAAGAGAGATATAAACCCTAGAACGTGTTCATGAATGAATTATAACGAAGGCTAAAAGATTGCCTTTATAGTAAAAGGAAATTAAAAACACGAGACTCTTGCCACATCACCAATCTTATAATTAATGTGTTAAGTTTTTCACTAATCCTAGTTAGGGTTGATTGTTCTTTGATTGTAATATTTGTTTTTTTAATAAAAAAAATATAAATATATTTGTTTTATTGTGGGCTTGATTGTGCTCAGAGTATCACTAATGCGTCTTGGTGCTCATATTATTCACCATATCTTAAACTCTTTGTGTCTTAATCAAGATAGTATCACAACTTTTTCCTCATAATTTCAGCACACCTCCATTAAAATCGTTTAGCCACGCACATGGAAGTCTTCGAGTCCCTCTCTATCATTTAGAAGAAGTAATTAAGATTACTTTAATTCGGCTACCCTCAAAGGCATGATTCTTTGTGATAGACACTATACTCGGTGGTAACCGCGAGGTACCAATATCGCTACTTGAACCCTGGTGAGACTCTCTGATCATGCTGAGTCACTATCACTTTACTGGCTCGGAATTGGTGAATATTTCTCTAATTAATTGAATACTTAAAACGTTTTAAGCATATAACTAAATACTCGGTTTGATACAGTTTGTTAAAGAACCAGAACAAACTAAGCAACATCAAGTTATGCTTATGTGATAGAATTTACTCATCTATAAACAAGATTCGGATAATAATCAAACTTTTGATGAAAATTTGCAATGTATACTATAAACTTTTAGAGAGAGGAGACAAAGATTATCATAAAAATGTTTAGAATTTGAGAACAAGGTTCAAACGAAAAAAGAAACATATGTTTTTTTTTTATGTTTAAACAACCCTAGTCGTTGGCCTTGGCGGCTGAAGCAGCAGCTTGTCTTGACCTTTCCTCCTAGCAGCAATAAGACCAACCTTTTGTCCGAACCTACCTCCGACTGAGTTTGAGACATATGTACGGTGATGGAAGAGAGAATTTAATTTACATGAGGGATAATCACTGTTCTGTTCTTATGCTTACGCACCCAAAGAAACTAAATTGAAGTGATGGAGAGGATAAGATAAGTTGAGTTATCTGAGGCAAGAGCCGTCTTGTGTGATTGATGATATGTTGTTTTCTGTTAATCTTCATGAGTCAAGATTGTATTATCCAATAACGGTGTATGATCCAAAGGAGACGCATTTTTATAAGGTTTTGCGGCTAACTTGCTTCGCAAGGAAT